TTTTGGAATGAGACCTGCAATAATGATGAAAGTCATTGAAAGTCTATAAGGATTTTGTAGATGGGTCTGTGATTCAGAAGGACAGTTCTTTGTCCAAAACTGAAGACAGACATGTAATAAATATTTTATTTTAAATATATTTATCGCTGCGGCCTGGGTTTGAGTCAGGGTTGTGTCAGGAAGGGCATCTGGCGTAAAACACATGCCAAATGTCACCATGGGAGTCGTCAGTATGACGATTCGCTGTGGCGACCCCTAAACGGGAAGAACCGAAAGTAACTTGGATTCTTTCTATCTTTATCTTAACATTAGGACATCAGATACTACCAAAAGTCATGGTTTTTAATAACCCCGAGATTTTGTGTTCTTATCTAAATTTTCTGTATATACTGTTAGGTCTGAATATATCTGGTATATTTTTGGTGAGTGATGGCAAGGGATGATCCCTAGCTACTGTGGCCTGCAGTTTCTTGGCACGATATTAATGATGCCATCAGATCTCAACTAACACAACAAAGTGTTATTAAATTGTCTTTTTTATTATTTAAATTTGCAGTTCTGACAGCAAGCATGTCTGAAGCAGATTATTGGCCTGGTGTGATTCGTTGTGTGGCAGAATATAGGAATAAAGACGACAGAATAAAAATGTTAGTAGCTGTCCACTTACAAGGGGACTGCAGTTTAGTTTAGGAGTAAAGGATTCACTACTATATGCTTTACACAAAAAAAGTTTTAAAATGTGTTTTGAATGGACATATGCAAAGGAGGAGTGAAAGGCCTGTTGTTAAGGCCTCATCCTGGCAGTGTTCCAGTCTCTTTGCTATGAATCTTATAAATGGTGATAACAGTCTTTTTGAAATCTAGGGGTGTAGTAGTTCTGAAACCTAAACCCCAAACCAACTGTGCAATAAAACCTAGGTAAGAAGCCAGTAAAAATCATTTATCAAAACATCTGCTAAATAAGCGTGAACTTGCCGAGAAGCAATAATTTCAGCTTTGCCTGCAGTCATCCACAGTAGGCATACGTTAATAGTGAGCTCATTGTGAGACAAGTTACTCTGTTGTTGATGTGAACTGTTAACTAAAAAGCTGTTTCTGATGGTTTTTTTTTCAAACTACAGCAATAAAACATCATAGAATCTTTACTGGAACTGGGTACATTAGAGTTAGACTATATCATTAAAAATTTTAAAAATATTTGTATAGAAATTTCATGTATTCTTCTACAAATCATCAGTTAATTTAACCTTTGTTTACTTTATAATTCTTGTAAAAAAAGTGATGGGTTTCGAGTCAGGGTTGCGTCAGGAAGGGCATCTGGCGTAAAACACGTACCAAATGTCAACATGAGAGCTGTCAGTGTGACGATTCACTGTGGCGACCCCTCAACGAGAAAAACCAAAAGTGACTTTCTTTCATTCTTGTAAAAATGTGTTCTTCTTTTTAGAATTTCCACATTGTTGGTGATTTAATAAACCAAGAAAAAAAAAAAACTCATTCTGTCTTATTCACCCTCAAATTAGGTACCTTGGAAGTAGTTGTGGGAAAGATTTAAAGGAGGGATGAAAGAAGTTAAAAACCACCTTGCTTTTGCTCACCTGACCAATTGTAGCATGAACTGGACATGATTGTCAGATTGTCTGTTTCTGGAAGTTAAAAAAAAACTGTTGGATGCAGTCACGTAGACAAGGATTTGTTTTGACGCATACCAAGGATTAAGGATGATATTCCAGTCAAGTAAATGAAACAAGGAAAGAGACTATACCCCAGGGTAATTTGTAAACATAGAAGAGTAACACATACTTTTGCCTTTATAGTGCCTCAAAATTGTATGGTTCTTGAGTAAATGTACTAGTTACTGTCCACCACTGGTTTCTTGTTGTCAGGTTTAATTTTAGCAATCTTGCAGTTTTCCCAGATCTCAGCAATTAATATTATGCGTGAAATGTCTTCAATTTACTTATATTTCCATATATGACATAAATTATTCTTTACTCTCACACAAAAATTTAGCATGAATTAGTTGGAACTCCACGAGGCTGCTCCAGACAGCCCACCAAAGCAGTGAAGACATGAGAGACAATGAGAAATTTTCACAGCCTCTCTCCAGACATAGTGATCTCATTCCTTACTGGGAGTACTGGTGCCTTGATCTACATCATGAGAGACAGTGCTCTGCATGATGGCATGCCAGTATTTTGTCAGAGATCACTCCTGTGTAAGCAGCCCCCCTCCTCAGTTCCTGGTGCTGTGAATCCCAGCCCCACCCTGCTAAACTCAGCGGGGAGCCTTATTATGCTTGCATCACAAAACCAATGTGTTTTGCTGGGTTTCTCTTGAGACTTGGTGTGTAGAGAGAAACGGCCTCCATGCTGCTGGTACAGCAGTTAATACAACATGCACTTGACTGGCTGATCAAACTGCAAAATCTATAAGGTGCTATGAACATTATACAGAGGTGAAAGGAAGTTAGAATTCTCTGAATGTTTGCGAAACAATTTTACAGCAGAAATTGTGCTCATGCAGACACCCAGGCTTTAAGTTCCTGCACTGGCAGTGTTTGTTTTCCATCTCAGCTGTCACTGGCCTATATGAATATTCAGATGAAACTGTTCCCATTCCTTTCTTGATATTTAACACTTCATATTTAATCCCCAAGTGAAACTATTCAGAAACAGTCATAACCTAGTTCTTGTTTGAAGTGATGGAAGTTAAAGGAAAACAGTATGATAACTAATGCATATTTGGTTTCAGGTTTTGCAGAATGATGCATATAAACAATGGTCTTTTTTGGTCTTTTTGGTGTTGTTTGTTCTGGCTAAACAGAGTTGGATCTTCTTTGGCTGGCAGGCTTTTGCATTCTGCTGTATTCTACTCTCCATTCTGCTTTCAAAGCCTCTCCATCTATATGAGAAACAATGATAATTGCCACAGTGAATAAGCTACATGCTAATGATGGAAAAACCAATTTGCCGAATTTGCTCTGTAGATGCTTTAAATATTATGTTTAAAAATGTTCCCACAACAGAGCTATTGTTATTTGTATATGTTTTATAAGCACTGTAGCACCTTATACTGTAGCAGTAGCTGTACTATTTGTTTGATGGGTTCCAGTGCTTTGTCTTGACCTCTGTCTGAATTTATGTAAACATGGTTCAAGTTAACATAAAGGTTTAACAGTTTGTTGATATGTATTATTTCTCTGTGTCCCCCTATTAACTGCTAAGCCTTAACTCACTTGTGCCTACTATTTTACAGTTGGAAACTGTATAGCTTGTTCCGTTGGACACTTTTTTATAGCTCAAAACACTAATACTGCAGTTGATTTAAGTATTTTTAGAAGATAAGAAAAACAAGTGCTTGAAGTGATCCAGTACACACTACTCGTTTGAGAAGCACTGCATCTCGCCTCAGCAGATGAGGGGAGCAGTGGGCAGTGACATGAAGCTGCAGTCAAGTTTAGGAGCTATGTGCTGGCTACAGTGTGGGAGCCCGAGGGGGTTAGCAACTCCAAAAAGAGACATGAGCTCTCTTTATGCTAATCACTCCTGTCACTTTTGTTTACTGCAGTTACTTCACGTGTGGCTGTTAATACTGAAGTGTTTGTTGCTGATGCTAACAAAACATTTCCCGTTGCTGCTCCTACACATCAAAACCCTGAATGTCTGTTGTAGAGAATGTGAAGTTGTCATCATGCTGTGTTGAATTTCGGGTAAATGCACCATGTTGGGGATCACACTCACTATCCATTATAGAGATATACACACATATAAGTAAATTCTAAAACTGAATACTATCCCATACAGCCACATACAGTAGTGGATGCTTCAGCTATGTCCATTTTAGTGTTCAGTTTGATGCGTTCATCTGTAGTGCTCGTGCCATCTGCCAACAGCTGCTAGCTAGCATTAGCTCCCAAACCAGGAACTGAGATTAGATTAGATTAGATTCAACTTTATTGTCATTACCCATGTTTAAGTACAATGCAATGAAATGCAGTTTAGCATCTAACCAGAAGTGCAATAACAGCAGTGCAGAGTGCACAGTATCTACAGTCTGTACAGTCAGAACTAATTTACTGATGGATATGTACAATTGATATTTACAGTAAGATATATAGGGTAATGTACAATATACAGTAGACTATGGATTCAAATTACAAGTACATTAAGCTTATGGAACACTAGTGTAATGGGATGAGATGGAATGAAACTGTGCAAAATAAGAAGACAACAATATGTTACATGAGTGAACAATGGATGTATCAGCATATGAACAGAGTGCAAATGAATACAGAGCAGTATTCTGTGAGTAGAGTATGCGCAAATTAACAGGGATCCGATTGCACAGTCATTTTTCAGTGTGTTGCTCTCATCGACAGGATCGCTAGGTCCGCTATGAGTTAGCTACAGTGAGCTAAGGTTATCATCCACAGTCAGTAAGGTGAAATATAAAACATTTAAGCAACTTTTTAGCCAAACAAAACAAGAATGTATGCAGGTAAATGAAGTGCCTCACTCCCAAAATGGCACCCCCCCCTCCCAACATTCAGCACGGCATGATGTACTTTTATATTCTCTATTGTGAAGAAGTAACGGGAAACCACAGCTTTACAGAATATTAGCAATATTAGATATCAAGTGAACGAAGCCTTTCTTACTCATGTTAATTAGCTGCATCCAAACTGAATTGCTTATTGATCCATTCACTGGAAAGTGAAGTTGCTCAATGAATGACACTAATTTAGCACATTCATGCGAACCCTGACTATAAGGTATTTTCTGAGCTGCTCCTTGGATGTAGCACTTTTCTTCAATTATTTGCTTATTTAAAGTCATTAAAACTTGGAACAATTTAATAAAAATTAGAAGAGGAGTCATGAAATTCCTGAAGCACACACTGTAAAATCACCTAGTGTGAAATCACCTTTGTACCCAGCAGCCCTGACGTGTTATACACCAGAACAGTCATTACAGTAGCTGTTGTTCCCTCTGTTGCAGGTATAGGAAGGAGCCTGTAATGATGCCCTGGGAGGCTGGCTGGTTTTATGAGTGAACACTGGCACTCAGCACTCACCAAGCTAGGCATCACACCTCTGCGTCAGACTGGACCTTATTAATTAACTTCCCATGACTCTTATCCTTTCTCTCTCAGCCATCTAATAGACCTGACACAACTGGTTCACAGGTGAGCTGTCTGATACACCACACAAGAAGAGAGCTGGATGTTGCTAAATGTTACAATGGAACTACTTTTTCAGTCCACACTGACCCAACTGGTATTCTGAGCATCCTTCTGTCCATGCTTTTTGTTTGTATTGATCCATCTCCTCTGTGACTCAGATTTAAAAAGTCTAATGGCTGCATCTCATGGGAGCCCTCATCCTCACCCCCTTACCTGAACATAATGGTTATCCACCTTTTATCATCCCACCTCACCTTCACGTTACTGCTGACCTGCCTCTGCCAACGTCAAAGCTATGTGTACAGGGTGGACCTTCATATGTCAGTTCCCCATCAATCCTGATCCAGAACACTGAGTTCACAGCTTCTAAATATCATTGATTCAAGCCTTGAAATGCTTTTCTCCTCTCTTCACTCCCTCCTTCCCCTTTCTTCCTGGGGTTGAGGAGAATTAGATCTTTTTGTATTGAAAAAAACAAAACAATATTGGATGGGAAAATTGCCCCAGAAATTAGATTTAACATAGTATCATCTGGGCAGGTAGGGTTGGGGGTTGCAGTGCGATGTGCAGAAAATGATAAAATAGTTTCAATCAAAGGCAAAGCAGTGTAAATGAAATTACTTTCCTGGATTTTTGATTTAATCCTATCCAACATAAACATGTTCATAGGATGTAGGCTCATCATAATTTAATTTCTTTCAAACTCTTCTACAGCTATGTGCTTGAAGTCAGCATCTGGTGTTAGTTTGTCTGCATTTGCATGGTGTTGGGATGTAATTTAAGAGATGTGACCGAAAATGTCAATTTAATTAGATTTGCTTTTCTAAGATATGGTCACTGGGTTGGGAGTGAGTGGCTGCCCCAGGTGAAGGGGTTTAAGTATCTCGGGGTTTCAGTCACGAGTGAGGTTAAAATTGAGCAATGAGATTGAGGTGGATAGGGGCAGCATCAGCAGTAATGCCGACGTTGTACCAGACTGTTATGATGAAGATGGGAGATAAGCTAAAAGGCAAAGCTCTCAATTTATCAGTCAGTCTATGCTCCAATCATCACGAGCATTTATGCATATGGAAACATTCCAGTATTCATCACGTATGGTCATGAGCTGAAAGAAAGAATGAGATCGTGAATACAAGCAGCCAAAATGAGTTTCCTTCATAGGGTGGCTGGACTTAGCCTTAGAGATAGGGTGCAGAGTTTGAACTTCTGGAAGTAGAACCACTGCTACTTCACATCAAAAAGTGCCAGTTGAGGTGGTTTGGGCATCTTATCAGGATTCCTCGATGGCACCTCCCTTTGGTGGTTTTTCAGGCACATCCAATTGGTAGGAGACCCTGGGGTAGACCCCGGACACGCTGAAGAGATTATATATCTTATTTGGCCTGAAATTTCAGTTTTTCATCAATGATACTACTGTTGCCAAGTGCTTATTTTTTGTGGGTATTACAAGCTGTTATTTCTGTCCGCTTACAGTTTGATGATATTAAGCAGGGCTAATGTAGCTCTTGAGGTTGAATGTAACATACAACAGATGCCTATTTAATTTGGTCTCCAGATATTTTGGCTCATTGACCAGGCTTTCCTGTGGGATCCAAAGATGTTTTGCTTTGGAATATTGATTTCTCTCTGGTAGGTCAGGCTCCAGCTTCTGCTGCTTTATTATGAGTGTGATGCTACATGGAAAATATCAAAATCTGTCTTTAACTTGATAATTTGAGAATTTTGTTCCAAAGAGTCATTTTTATAGTGGAAATCCTCCTTGAAAAAAATTATGCAATTGAATCCAAATTACAACTACTTAAAGGTAAGGTTGGCAATCCTGGAAAAACCAGCAGGAGGAAGCGCAATTTTAAAAGTATACAACTGAAGAAATCCCACCCTTCTCTTTTGACTTTCCTCCAAAGCCACTCCTCCAAAACACAGTGTGCACTGCCTGACTACTACTTACAGATTTCAGGAAAATAACAAATGCCCCCCAAACAAAACAAAACTGATATTTACCTGTCCAGCAGAAATACGGCCACCACGTTGTCCATATTTCTTCCCCTTTTGTTCTCTTTGTTTGTCGCCATTGTTCAAAAGCCACACCTATGTTAATTTTGGTTTTACTTCTTGCAGCATCCAACTTTTTTATTCTTGTAACTTTCTTGAATATGGTGTTAAGAGCCCAGATTTGCAGCCTCGAACTTGGCCAAATAAAGGTGATTATCCTTTTAGTCTCTAATACAATTAAAGCTCTAAAAGTGGTAAAGTAGAACACCGTGCAACAAGAACCTCTCTTTCAGATGTAAGACAGAGACAAATTTCAACTAAAATGCTTTTAAGTTTTCATTGAAATTCTGGGTCCCTCTGCTCAGGGACATCCATTCCCCTTATTGCATCTTGGCTCTCATAAGAGATATTATACAGCTCCTACACAGCCTGACTGTCTTGTATTGATTGGTGGTTATGTTTTGAGTGACAGCCAGCATGCTAATGTGCCACAGTCTCATGAGACATGGCTCTCTGTGTTAAGGATAAAGGAGGTCAAAGGGCCTCAGTGCCTAAATTGAATGTGTAGCGTACATCAAATCTTCAATTCATCAATTATGCAACTGATGTGACTTGGCAGGTAATGTTCAGTTTTGCTTTGATGCAACCTGTACAACCAAATACACATGGATTGGGCAGGACAATTTAAACTTGGGGTGAACCACTAAGTAAAGACTTTTTTGTGGTTTTGTTACTGTACAGATGGGTTCAATATTGAGGGTGGATTTCAACAGTAGCACCTCTGTAAGCTCTTTGTATTTGTGATGACAAGAGGTATTCCATAAGCTGGTCATTGTTGCAAGATCAGCCTCCAGCAGGTGACTGATTGCTTTAAAGAAGCTCATTTTAGAAATTATGACAACCTGTGTGCTTTATCCTACCCATCTTGCAGCTAAGACATTCAATATTTGACAGGAAATATTGATTTGAAATAGGTATATTACAAACTAGCAAGTAAATTACAATAAAATAAAATAAAACAGTCTAAACAGTCCGTTGGTGGAATTTATTATCGTCAAGGAGTGAGGCACTAGATGAATTCTACCAGGCCATCAGTGAACAACAGACAGGACACCCAGACAGATTCCTCATCATAGCTGGGGACTTCAATCACACAGATTTAAAGGTTTTTTTGCTCAAACTGCGCCAACATGTGGACTTTCCAATGAGAGGAGACAACACATTGGACTTTGTGTACACTACATGCAAGGGAGCATACAAAGCCTCCCCCCTCCCCCACCTGGGTCTCTCTGATAACATCACCATTATGCTGAGACCTGCATACAGACCCAGAGTGAGGGTCATCAGACCAACACAAAAGGAGGTACGTGTGTGGCCGGAGGGGGCTTTGTATGCTCTGAAGGACTGTTTTGACACTATAGACTGGGGCATTTTCAAACAAGCAGCCACTCATAACAATCACATAGACATAGAGGAATACACTGAGGCTGTCACAGCATACATCACAAAGTGCAATGATGATGTCACTCAGCAAAAATATCACTGTTCGTGCTAACCAGAAGCCATGGATGACAGGTGAGGTTCACAGAATCTTGAGGACCCGGGATGCAGCCTTTAGGGTTGATGACACCGCAGGCCTGATAACAGCAAGAGCCAACCTGTCCTGTGGAATCAGGGAGGCAAAACGCCAATACAGCAAGAAAATACAGTATCTGGACACTTCAGTGACACTAGAGATGCACAGAGTCTCTGGCAAGGCATCCAGACCCTCACAGGCTATAAACCCCCACCTTGGAACTGTGACAGTGACATCTCTCTACTTAACAGCCTCAATGACTTCTTTGGCCGCTTTGAAACACAGAACACACCAGCACAGAAAACCAACCCCTCCCCCAGGTGAGCAGGCTGTGTGTCTGTCCGTAGTCAGCGTGAAGAAGACTGTCTCCAAGATCAACCCACGCAAGGCAGCTGGACCGGATAACATACCTGGTCATGTTTTAAACAACTGTGCCAAGGAGCTCAAGGATGTCCTCACGAACATCTTTAACATCCCTCTGAGCCAAGCAGTTTCAAGGCTGCCACAATAATTCCACTTCCAAAGAAGCCCCACCCAACCAGTTACAATGACTATCAGCCTGTAGCACTGACTTCAGTTATTATGAAGTGCTTCGAGCGGCTGGTCATGCAGAATGTCAAGTCCATCCTTCCTCCCTCTCATGACCCATTTCAGTTTGCATACAGGTCAAACAGGTCCACAGAGGATGCCATTACTGCTGTTCTCCATCCAGCCCTCACCCACCTAGATTCAAAGAACTCTTACATGCGAATGCTGTTCCTAGACTTCAGTTCAGCGTTCAACACAATCATCCCACAGCAGCTTATAATAAAACTTGGACACTTGGGACTCAAAGGGGCTCCGCAGGGCTGTGTGCTCAGCTCATTGCTCTTCACACTGCTGACCCACGACTGTGTGCCAACCTACAGCACCAACCAGATTGTCAAGTTTGCAGATGACACGACTGTAGTTGGCCTCATTACCAACAATAATGAGGCCAACTACAGGAGTGAGGTGTGCCAACTGGTACGGTGGTGTAAGGACACTAACGTCTCCCTCAGTGTGGGGAAGACTAAAGAAGTCGTTGTGGACTTTAGGAGGAAATCTCTAAAGCATCCACCACTGGCCATCAACTGTGCTGTAGTGGAGAGAGTGAGCAGCACCAAGTTCCTGGGGGTGCACATCTCTGAGGACCTCTCCTGGACCAACAACACCACATCACTGGCCAAGAAAGCTCAAACACGCCTCTACTTCCTCCGCAAACTGAGGAGAGCCAGTGTCCCACCCCCCATCATGTGTTCCTTCTACCGGGCATCATTGAAAGAGTCATCACTGGCTGCATCACTGTGTGGTACGGAGCCTGTACTGCCTCCTGCAAAAAGACCCTGCAACGCATTGTGAATATAGCCAACAAGATCATCGGCACCCCTCTGCCTTCCCCCAAGGACATTTTTAA